CAACATCGAAGCCCTTAAGAAGTCTTTGGTCCAAAAATGGAAGAATATTCCACAGCATCAGCTGCGTGCTGCAGTATGCGCTTTCCGCCCTCGATTGAAGGCTTGCATTTCCAAACGTGGCGGACATTTCGAGTAGCTATGGTTCCTAACATTGACTGACACTTTGTACTAAATAAATTATCACTTGAAGATGTCGTTCTTGTTGCTTTGGTTGTTTTTGGCAAAGAAACGTTTGTAACAGAACTTCTTACGCACCCTGTATGTCTCCTTGACCTGCGAGTTTACTTTTATTCAGTCCTCGTGTGTGTTCTAAACTTCTTATTTCTTTCCTTTTCGAGTTTGTGGAAGGAAACGATGGCTCAGAATATTAATTTTCAATAATTGGGTCCGTGATCACATTATCTCCACGATCCCAACGATAACTAGTCAGTACGCACCAGATCTATGGCATCAATACGAGGATATGGGGCTGCAATGCATCAATAAAATTCAGTCGCTGAAAAACGTTTATAGCATCCATGCAGAATATAGTCGTATTAAAACTTTTGATCATGACAATCGCACCAGAAAGTGAAGCTCATCCCACCCGAGTCTGTCCTCATAGAGGTTTGTTTCTAGAGAACTTAAGAAGGTTTTAAATTATCACGAATGGGTTTCGTCCTGCCGAGTATTTATTGCAAAGATTTCTTCTTTTTTTTTTTTTACTATCGCTTCTGTATTTCATTAATCCTAAAAAGTCGACCGACTTTTGGCAGGAGTTATGGACTTTAAATTGGGACAAGAGCCTCGCTTTTTGGGCCAGATCTTATGGAAAATCAAGTGGAAATGAGGTGAAACGAGTTGAACCCTAGAGCACTTATTGGGAACGAGGGAGGAGACGCGCGAGGCAATCCACTCTATCCGACCGGAATTCACCCTTCCAGCTGTGCCTCGCCTTCAGCCTTCACTTCTAGCCCTTCCACGTTCCCAAACCGTAAAAAGTGAAACTAATGGCCTCTAGGCATGTGTCCCACGGTTTACCTCTTGGCGTATTAGGAGTCGAGCTTGAGCTTTCTTCGGAATCGTCTGCATACGGCACCACTACTCTCTCAAGCCAACCCTTACCTCCTGTCAGTGGGAAACGACATATCAAATCCAGCCAATGAGTCCACGTGGACCAGTCATCGACAGTCGTGAAGATTCACTAGATGAAGGCTAGCACCACTTCATAAGCAGTATCTTTGTATGGTATGAAAGACTTCAGAACTGCGTAGGGTTCTGAGTGCAGGTGGTTCCAGCTACACTGTGTCTCATCTATCTGAGCTAATGAATCGCATGCAAATACTTTATAACCACACAAAAACTGTATTCATGTCTAAATCTACATATGAGACAGATCCAATCTGTCATTCAATGCTCTCCTTTACGAGAAGCAGTGATGTTTCATGTGTTGTGCATCATTTTATGCATTGGTTGTGTAAAATATGAACTTTCAATCATACCTAATCACATTTCCTTCATAATCCAATATGAATGGTCCAAGGCTTAATGAATAGCATGGAAGAGAGGCCTCCATCATTTAATATTAGTCTTTTCACAGAATACCTCAATCATCTCTGCATATTTCTGCCAATGCAAAGCTCTCATCAATGTTTGTGGAATACCACAGCTTCAAATTTCACAAATTTTGCAATTCATAAGTGTGGCAACATTTTATCATATATATATCTGGTGGTAAAAAAATTTCATCCAAAAATATGTAAAGGAAACAGAGCACAGGGTATGGCAAAAAAAGACCAATGACTTTCAACCTAAATATATTCTCTCCCTATGGAGCTATTTTCATGAAACTTTCACATTGCATATATGAGTATGTTTCTGACTGATACCTCAAATTTCACCCAAATTTTTGGTGCCAAAGCAATTCTATCAGCAATTATTGAAAAGAAGTTAGACATTGAGAATGGACAAGAGCTCCTGCTGGTAGTGCCAACCTTCCTGCTTTGCTGTCTCCTAGGGATGGGGATTGATTGTGTCCTCCACTCCACTACCAGCAGGAACTGTCCATTCTCAATGTCTAACTTCTTTTCAATAATTGCTGATAGAATTGCTTTGGCACAACAAATTTGGGTGAAATTTGAGGTATCATTGGAAACATATATGCAATGCGAAGAGTTTCACGAAAATAACTCTGTTGGGAGGGAAGATATTTAGGTTGAAAGCCATTTGTCTTTTTTTGCCATACCCTGTATACAAACTTGTACACAAGGACACATTGTGCTGGTCAAGACATATCTCTGAGGATCTCTCTGGGTACTGTGTTCATGAGGCCCAGCCCAGCAATAGCCAAGTCTGCACAAAAACCATTCTGTCAGGTTTTTTACTCAATGAAAGTGAACTCCATGATTGTCTCTGATTCTCATCAATGAGGGTAAAATTACATCAGAGACATGGCATCAAGTTAAGGAACATTAGCTAGAGAGTGTCTGCAATATTAGATGTCATTCTTCAATAGAAAATGACAAACCAACTGGACAAGAGGAATGGCTCCAAGTCAATAGATACACACTCTGGTCTTACTGAGACACTCCCTCCATACCACTCCTCCCCCTACATTCTTCTTAGACATGTTTCACCTCTTTCATACACCATGATGCAATCAAGGGAGGATTAATATCAGACTGGACTCTTTCCAGCTTTTTTTATTCCACATGGAAAATCATCAGGGTAAACAAAGGAAATGAATGTCTGGAATGTCAGGACACATTTTCTCTATTTCAACAAATAGAATGAACTTCTAGATTATCACTTATTTAGGAATGAAGGACTAGTAATAATTTAAACTACTTTGCATATCACAGTTGTATTCCCTGCTCAAAATGATGGAGACAATGTTCAAAATAACCATGATGGAAAATAAATTATTAGCAAGGAAAAACAAGGAAAAGTAACCAAAGAAGTAAAATGCCAGAGTCAATTTTGTTTTGAGTATTTCTTATAAGGGCTCATATGCATGAGGATATCCACATTTTAGCCTTCTTCTCCTGCTGAAGCATTATGATTTTGTGAGGCTGAGTTGTAGCTCAGTGCACATGAAAAACTGAAAGCTAAGTTGACAAATCAATACCATTACAATTTTCCATGTGCAACTTGGAATGAAAAACAAAACCTTCTACTAATTTTCTAGTGGGTGCATGTACAGGTGTGAGTTCCCAGCTGCACGTAGGGCAGTTAGTCTTAGTTGTCTTTCATCTTAGTTAGTCCAGGTGGTCCACCATCACAGATTACTCAGGAAATACTTATTCCTATGATAAACCTCAACCAAGATAAAGAAAATTGGCCTAACTTTGTGGAGGTAAGGATGGAAGGATGAAAATATGTTTAAAAATCCTGAGAACTAAAGATGATTGATTGATGAAATTTTGCATAGTGGTAGGTGGCACATTACAGGCAGACAATCACAAGATTTCTTTATGAATGTTCATTGGTCAAGCAAAAATCCTTGATGAAAAAGGTTATAACAAAAGGGGTCACAGTTTCAAAATTCACCAGAAACAATTCTAGGATAAGTGGAATTTGGCATAAATGTAGCCTAAAAAACTTAAAGTACTGAAATAAATGAACAATCCTAAGATCTGCATATCCAGAAAGATACAGAAAAGATGGAATTTCAGCAAGGCAAACCTTTATAAAGAAATCCATAATTCAGAGGTCTGGTTTTCACTAAGTTGAACTTATGAAGCATAGCCAACCTTCAAAATGGACCAATCAGAAACAATGCTAGCCTCCATTTTAATCACAATATGGAAATTAATCAAAGAAGAGCATATTAACCCCACTCCAGAATTTGAAGCATATTATTAAAGAACTCAGGCAGCAAGGTTCAGTCATTGGAAGGCACCACCATGCCCTAAGTAGGGCCATGGTGGTGCCTTTCAACCAAACTGTGCAATCATATATGGAGATTACCAGGAGGCAACCACACTGGAGGACTGAAAATGTTCAGATTCCATTCTAAATCATATTTAAGGAAGAACTCAGAAGATGCAAACACTATGAAATGATTGAAGGGAAATCCAAATGAGCAGCTTGAACCTGATTTGTAATTGCACTCTATACTGGTACTTCAGGGTGTATTCGTTTTTAAAGGTGTACTCACACTTTATTCAGCATGTAGCAAGCACCTATTTTTTAAAGGTGTACTCACACATTATTCAGTGTGTAGCAAGCACCTATCAAATCCACCCAAAATGCTTATCCAAAATTTTTAGATGGGCCAAGATTGGGTCACATATATTGTCAGTCTTAGTGATAGCACAGTTTCATCAACTGTCAACTGTCTCATCATCAAGAGCAACTGTCTTATTGCCTTTTTGTTGACTTTCAAACTCTAAATGATCCTTTCCAAAATTCAAAGAGTTTCCAAACTCATGTCATTTGTCAAGAGATCTGATGATTTGAGATTCAAAATGCCATTTGAGATTCAAGATGCTTTTGCCTATAGTTCATAACTCAATTTATGATTCAGAATTAGGAAAAGAAGATTCTATCCAACAGGGTGTTCTGAAAGTTTCTGACCCACTAAAATATAGATAGAAGCAATATTAATGAGAATATATCAGTTAAATTGCATTCCACATGGCCAAGAATACCCCAGGTAACCCATTCCTGCATTGATACTTGATATGACTTCTGCCGACCTCCAGGAACCTTGGAACAGCATCCCAAAGCTGTCAATTAATCAACAGATGACACCAGTTGTGTAGGTTTCTCATTCCACCCAGAACCCTGGGAATAACAGATGCCCAATTTATTGTGTGGGGCTGACACAGAACACTCTGCTGGAACTTGTGCCACAGGTGTATGGGGTGTTCAGGTCCAGATAATTCCTTGGTCAAATTCTTAGACCTGAACCTGTCTCTTCAACAACACAAAACAGGAAACCACATTTGTGGCATAGGGCTCTGTCCTGTACCAGCACAGCCTTTTCGTGGCCTGAGAAGATCACCTGAATATTCATGTAGCCCATATAGATAAGCAGGATATTTTCACAATAGCTGGCATAGCACCTTCCCACAATCGGTGTGGATGGGTCAGAAACTTTCAGAACATCCTGCATTTGAATCTTTAAAAAAAAAAAGAGGCGATTTTGTACCTCAGTGTTGTGATATCATGACCCCTCATTGAAAGTGGAATGGAAGGGCCCACATGTGAATTAATTCAAAGCATAATATGGGCAAAGTAGGAGTGACAAGATATCAGAAGTAGAAAAGGCAACCAAAATACAAATGAAAACTTAGATTCTCTACATCATTGGAATTTAGGATAGAAATGTCTTTTGCTTATGAGGACTTTTTACATTTTGACATGGGTCCTATCAAATTCACCCTTCAATTTGTAAAAGGATTTTCTTCAAAACTTTATCTGGAACACTTTCTAAAGCTGCATTTAAATTCCAAAGTTCTGCCTCATTCAGCAGGAAGGATTTGTACTAATTAAATTGGAATTGATGCACTGGAGGGCTCCATGTCTCTGTATCACAAAATTTTTGATGAATTGGCCAAAGCAAGATCTAAATGCTCATCAGTATTACAAGCATCACTCTTTTTCTTTGCATTCCATGGCCTTGGAATTAGTCTTGCCAGATTACCACAGAATGCCATACATACTTTTATCCACTCCAATAAACACAACACTCTCAGGTTGATCTTTCAGTGACCACAGCCACGTCCACCTTTGAACTTTTCTTATATTCAGATAAAATGAAAATTAGCTTTTTCTATGCTGCTTATTTTTGCACATATTCATTTATATATGAGGTTTTAGTAAATGTATAGATTAAATGCATTAGCAGGTACCTAAGGGAAGTTCATCTCTGAATTCTTAATAAAGAGATATTCCATTTCTGCTTGGCACATGAAGCATAGATATTCACAATTTTTCTATTTAAAAAGCGAATTAACTACCAGATTCTAGAGAACCAGCAAAGCTGATCCCTTTCTGTTAGTACTAACCCTTGGGACTAAAGAACACATGCAAATAGGAATGTCACATGTGAGATTAGTCAGAGGAGACTCTTACAATTTGTATCTAAAATATAGTTTCTACTACAGCAGACAACTTCCAACAAGGAGTATCAGGTATATGGATCTTTGTGCAAGGGGAAAAGCCTTGCACTTAGGAATGCACAACAGTCCATTCAAGTGGGGAGTTGAGCATGCTCAGGCAGCACCAAGTCTCCTAGTTAGCCAACTGCAACAGGAAGCCGATGTTAGGCCTCCACCTCCAGCAACAGCCTTCATCTGCGTGGGTCAGAGACATGCAGCATGGCCCTGGCAGCACCAAGTGCAGAGTCTCCCCCTTGACCGACCGTGACAGGGAGCTGGTATTGGGACTCCACCTCCAGCTGGAGTACAGGATTCCGAGCAAGGGCAGATCCTGTCCCTTGGATCCGCTCTATCCCTGCCCTCACCAGCTCTTCTCGAGACAGCATGCTATTCCAAGTAGAGTTGTCACTTGTCACAGGTATGACCATACAGAATTGAACAGCAAGAACAAGCAGTAAGACATAGGAATGACTGGTTACTTCCTATCCAGTATTTAGCCACTTAAAACTCCAGAAACTATAGGGTACAATACTCTGAAATCCTATATGTTGTCCTTGGAAGAACTATCATGGCCATTATTACCATTGAAAGAGTTATTTATTTGATGTGAAGTCTGACTCAATGACTCTGAATTTCTAATTCAAACTTGTGACTGAGAAAGACAGCTCCTCCCATGTTTGACCTGCTTTCAGACACCCAGTCTAATTCATAAGTTAAAGGTCACAAGTGTTCCAAAACATTTAGGTCATCATACTGCTCCCTCCACATGAATGACTATGTTCTATTCCAGAAGTCTTACTTAATCCTCAATCATATGAATGGTCAAAATGTCCTCATCATGTAATGTTCTGGATGGTTTAAGACGAGGGGCAACTTATGAGGATCATTACAGGTAGATGTATCAGAGCTCAAGCAAGTCTTTACAGGAGGAGAGAACAAGCTCTAGAAGTTCTGGATCCACTGTAAGCTTCACCCTCCAACACTCAAGGACAGGTAACTAGACCTGTTGTTCCAAGCTCGTGACTCCAAATGCCACTCACCTGTGTAAGTTGGCAACAATGCCACGGCAGACGGCCCTGGTGACCTTCCCAAGATTCATGGAAGAAAGAGTGATGTTAGAAACGGAAGCTGTGCTATCAGGACAATGCCTTTCTCGAAGGAGGAGAGGAACGACTTCCAGGTCCGAAGCAGATGAACTGGACTTGGCTTGACTCAAAATCACCTTCCACACGCTCTCTGCAAAGATGACAAAAGCCATATATGAAATAGGCTTCCATTAACCTTCCTATGCCTGAAAACAATGCTGGGGCAGAACCATTCAACACAATCCCTTGCAGAAATGCAGTTTTCCATATGTGAAATGTTAAGCCTCTCGTCCACAAGAGAGATTCAGGGTTAAGGTTTGGATTGGAATGTTGATTGGCATTTCTGCACATATTCAAACCGAGTCAAGCACTTAGGGCGATACGCCTACCCCTCTCAAGTTCGATTTCTCTCATGGGAGCATTTTCTTGTTCATGTCAACAGAATATATTCCACGTTCTTCGGGCTAAGTTCTACATACACTGAATTCACAGGTTTTTCACCGAGCAAAATTGAACGCTTCCAATTTCTTTAATCGCATGGATGCAATAGCAATAAAAAAAAAAGGCTTCTCACCTTGTGGTATGGAGAAGCCGAGGGTGTGCACCCACTGCTGGATCATGCCGACGAAGTGAGCCAAGACGTTGCCACCGTTGAGAGAGGCAGCAACGGCGAGATACCGACCTGAGAAGAAGGGGAAATACTCCACACGGGAATGCTCTGTCTCTTCGGGGGGCGAGAACCCCTCGGGCATGATGTACGAGAGCTGGGCGGAAGTGGAGATGTTGAGAACGGCGTCCCGCGTGGAGTCCAGGGTGGAAAAGACGGAGCATTGCATGTCCCCGAAGGCGGCGCTCACGGGAGTCCCGGCCGGGATCCCGCACCACGGATGCAAGAGTGTCCCGGCCACACCTGAATCGGGGCTCAGGATTTCCGGCAGAAGACGAACGGGAAAATTGGCACGCGATAAGATGTCTTCGTTCCACGAACAATCCGTGGTGTTGAAAAAACCCCAACTGGCTGCGATTTGGATGCTCATCATTGGAGCCTCTCGACCGCAGAGCATGGCTACGACCAGGTCCTGGATGGTACCCGCACAGGTGAACTGTTCCAAAAAGAGAGGGTCCTGTTGGTGCAACCAGAACAAAGTGGCGCAACCGTAGCCGGTGCCCACTCGAAGATGGCTGCGAGGTTTGGGGAGCGCGGCAAAGAAGTCGCTGTTGCACCGTCCGTCTTGCCAGGTATACAGATGGCTGGTCTTGTCTCGAGATAGATCGTACCGTTCCTGCCTTGGGGAGTATTCCCACGAGGATGGGCCTTTCCAGAGGACGACGCCGTGCATCTGGCCAGAAATCCCGATCTTGGTCACCCTCTTGAGTGCATCCCTTGGGAGACGACTGACACATATGTGGACGGTGGAAAGGATCTTCACGGGATCCTGTTCGTGGCCGGCTTCGAGACGGCTCTGCACGGCCGCCTGGGTATCTTTCGCTTGCTTGCTGGCAATGGCTCCACTCACGGCATTCAACAAAACTGCCTTCACCGAAGTCGTACCGACGTCCAACCCCAGAACGTATTCCATGCTTCCCGAGGATCTCTGGAAGACGTCTAAAAGCGGGGAGCGTCTACGCTACGTCATAGGTCGGCGAATCACAATCACCCGGTGCTGTTTTTTGTCAGCAGCATAAATATTAAGACCAGAGGGAATGGTTCTGGACCTTGACTTTCCTTTCAGGAGTTGGCCTTTGGGGCTATCTCAATTTACAACCAGAGAGATTGAGGCAGCTTGCCCCAGCTTGCCTTCAACCAGGCAAATCCCTCTAAATTCACACCCAGTTCAACCATGCCTTTAACATCCAAGTGAATCCAAATAATCTAGTCTGTTTCAAGCTTCTTCCAATAATCCTTTTGAAGAAATCACAATCCCTTTTGGTTTTATGATGAGGGGGATGAAGTTGCCATGATGTAGAATGCTAATGAAAATATGTATCCTGTATCTTCTCATTTTTCTCATTTCTTCACATCAGAGAATGGTTTGTCACAAATAATGCCCATATGCTTAGCCAAGGTAGTGAATGAATGAACAAAGTTCTTCATGAACTTCTTAAGCAAAGGAATGGCAACTTGCAATTTGGAATGGAGGGTAAGGCAATTCTTTGAAGTGTATATGAAATGGATACTTTCAATTTGCCCTGAATATTTTTAAATTGCAAGTTAATCCATTTCAACATTCAAGACTGCATCCATGCTATGCACGAGCGGTGGCACATAGAGAGAACCGCACCCATGCTATGTACAATTTACTTAGAAGTTTATATATGGATTTAATCAGTAAAATGTGATGAATTCATTTCAACAGACAAAAATTATCCAATATTATCATACTTTCCACTGTTTTTTTGAAAATATTGAAAAATTGCTGGTTTTCTGGGCCCTCTGTGCAAAATCAGCTGGTCTCAATGTGTTAATGGGAGTGACTACCTTAAAAAAAAGGACATGAAAAAAAATCTTAGCTGTATCAGAGACCTTCCAATTTTTTTCCCTCTCTTTCTGTGGCATTACATAATCTCTCATTTTTCCTCTTTATCTCTAAGGGAATATGTTATCTCCAAAAGCATAGGGTGCACAGTGAATTCCCATAGAAAATCCTGCACTACTGAAGCTACTTAAGACATGGAGTGCTGCTCATGAACTCTTAAAGAACAGAATCCAAATGCCTTTAGAGCAAAGTCCAAAGAAAAATTAACCTTCCTGAAATCTATGAGTTGTCAAATTTCTCAATCTAGTTTTACAGGTTTATGCAGTCCCCTTTGCAAACAGGATAATATACAGTATACAAAAGGTAAAAAAGCTGGGAGTCTGATGCATTGCATCTTCTAGCAGGAAAATCAACTTTTTCATTTCTACATGCTGACCTAAAAGATATTATCAGTTTCATAGCATATGTGTCTAGTAAACTGATACTTTTTGGCCACCTTGTATATTTGAAGAGTATAAACCTACCAATCTGAATGCAAAGCACTCTCCTTCATTCACTAAGACATGCTTCAAATGGATACTGTAAATCCCCTTTTTACTGGTAATTTTATGCCGAGACCCTAAGTTGTTTTTAGCCTGATTCATGGGCAGCTGGAATTTCCATTTTTCTAGCCTCAGCAATAGGGTGCCATCAGCTATAAGGTAGCCACAACAGTTCAACAGTGACAGTACTAAGAATAGCTGGAATCCAGAATAAAGTAATATCTTTCCTTGAGGAGCACAGTGGCATGTAAAATTTAGAGCCAGCAAGGAGAGAAAAAAAAACCTTATAATTATACCCTCTGAATCCACCTGAAAAGTTGAGTTAAACAAAATGCAATTAAGGGTTAAGGTAGGCTGTATTATCCATACACTTTTTACTAAAAGTGATGCCAGTTCAATTCAACCTGTTGAGGATTTAGGTTTTTTTTTTTTTAACAAAAAACAGGGAAGTATTTTTTAGTGGTACATTACAGCCCTCTCCAAGGAGGATTACTAGTAATTTGTGATACAGAAATTAACATGTAAAATTTGAAACCACACATATATGGTCATAGCCCTCAAAGGGTTAAAAGAGGATAATAATGTACCAATAATAATGGATAATAATGTATTTAGATCTCTAACCTCAGGGAAGTCCAATTAGGCTATAGTCCCATGTCTATTGCCAATCCCCATAAACTGAATGAAATGTGGAATTCTTGTTCTTTTTCAGCAAGTGTCTTGTCCCTCTCAGGTCTCATGTCTTACTTTCAAGTGTCAATTCACATTACCTTGTCAGGTAGTCAATGTGAATCAACTGACTCAAAACTCATGGGTGCTAAATGCAAACAAGAGGAACTCATTGGAATGATAGAACCCAAATGATTTATTTCTTCTCTTGGGTATCATGCCCATGCCAACCAAAGCAGAAGAAACTATTGACACACATCTGAATATGAAAAGGGTAGGGTCTTCCTGCACTTCTGGAAATGGACTGATAAAATTTCTGTGATGCCTCCATGGATCCAGCACATGGTTTCAGTTTGCTGATGATGGGAGTATAGAGGCATTGGGCAGGCAGAAGAAAGTGTTTTTTTTTTTATACATTTTTTTGTGCAACCAGTGAAGAGGAAAGGAAAACAGAAAAAGGGGAGGAAGCTAGTGTGTATCACAGCTTGATGTCTTAGGAGAAAACAAGCAGCAGAGAAAGGGATACGGTATGAAATGCGATCAAGAGAAACAGAGGCCTGCCCACCACTTACTCCCTCTGATCCAATGCAACAGGAAAGGAGGCTGCATGGGCATATGATGTATATGGGAGGCCACTTAGCTGTACAAGTCATCATCACCATCATTGAAGTTGCCTCCACGATCTCCAGATGTACCCTGACCACTGCTCTCTCCAGGGAATCTGCATGCAATAACATTTTCAAATTTTGTAAGTAATGGAACAGCCAGTCACTTGGCTTGCAGAGCACGTGTAAATTGAGCACGTGTATGTAGAGATCATGCATGGCAGAAAAATAATCTCTCTCCAAGGGGCACTACCTGACACCACTGCCAAAGGTATACTTGTTATGCACGAGTCTAGATAGATCTGGTCTGCAATACTCTTATCAATCATTAATTTCAATAACACCAGTGATGTATAGATTGCTGGTTCCACAAATGCTAGGATTTTTATCCCAAAACATCAGTCAGTCATAAGATGCAACAAACAAATATAATGTAGGGAGGCTTTTAGACAAGAAATACAGTTGCCATATCAGGAATTGTAGTGCAACTTGCTTTGGAGAAAATATTAGCAATTGAAACTGCATACACAAATAAGATAAACCAGCAACAAAGGCATCCACATGTAACCTATTGGTTTACCCTAATAAGTTCACACTCTTTCTTCAATGGAAGTTTTGAAAACCTTTATTGGATTTAAAAAAAAAAAGTGACTAAGATGACCAGTAATACAAAAACAAGCACATTGGCATTCATGGTATAGTCAAAACAAGGTGTACTATTTATAGGATGCAGGGACCTTCTTGAGGGGAAATTTGATTACATATTGCAATAAAAAATTCCCAAAATTGCCATCCTGTAAATAGGATGAGATGAAATGGGTTAAATAATTAGCAAAAAATCATACACACTGATGATACCATTAAAAATGGAAAATTGCAAGCATATCTATGTTTGAGAATATTATGTATCTGCAAAAATACAATCTAAATCTGAGTAAAGGCATAAATAGCAACAAAATCTGAATGAAAAACGGGATAGCCATTTCATTTAATCAACTTGAGGTAAAGGTAGCACTTACCGGAAATTGCCAAAGCCTCGAGACTGTTGGAGCGTTTGGGCAAACATCTCATAACGTCGGATGTCATTGTCAGATACAGAACGACGAGCAAAACGCATAGCCTCTTCAAAGTGGCGCTTGGCGACTTCAGGCACTGGATCCTCTTCCTCTACCTAGGAACAACATTCCAATTAAACTCAGATGTGGTATAACAAATCCTACATATATCAAATGATTAGCAACAGAAAAGGATGGGACTCACTTCCATGCGCTGTGGGTTTTCGGCCCTTTCCTTTTCTCGTTTCAATTCAGCCTCAATGGATTCACGGATTGCCAACTTGCAGGCCCGCTGGCAGATCTCAGTCAAGTCAGCTCCAGAGAACCCATTAGTGATTTTCGCAATGTAGGGCAAGTCCACATCCTAGGTGTTGTGAAGGACAGATACATGACATGAGAGTATGTCCAATCTCACACAATGTTTTGGAAGACTTCCTCTTCCAGTGCATTTGAACTGTCAGATACCAGCACCAGTATGAGTTGGAATTATTTTATAAGCTCATATGGTTGATTGCTACAAGTTAGCAGCATCATACAAGATGTATGCAATTTTCTTTGTGATACAGAAGCTTGACCTAAAGTTTAAACTTCAAAGGAAGAATGGATGAGTTATAGGGAATGAAAACATTGAGTATATGATATTTCATAAAAATACCATGAACTCAAGTAATAAAACTGGAACTGGGAATTAACTAGGTCACAACAAAATGCATACATACTGTGTCAATTTTGCCATCAATCTTGAAATCAGGATTTGAGGTGAGTTCCAGACATTTGATAGCAACTAAACACAGCTATGAAGGAGAGTAAAAAATAAATTCAAAGATGTTCTCACCCTGCCAATTGGGGTTTTTCGAAGGTTTGCCTTGAGCACAGAAATTCTAGATTTCTCATCAGGAAGAGGAATGTAGATGAGTTGATCCAACCTCCCAGGTCGGAGGATGGCAGAATCAATGATGTCAGGTCTGTTTGTGGCCCCAATGATGAAAACGTTCTTCTTGGTGCCCATCCCATCCATCTCAGTCAGGATTTGATTAATAACACGATCAGCAGCTCCACCTGCATCCCCTATATTCCCTCCACGAGACTTGGCGATTGAGTCCAGTTCATCAAAGAAGAGGACACATGGAGCAGCAGCTCGGGCCTGGAAAAATCCAAACAGGATTGTCAATCTCATAAATTCCACATCAACAATTTCCACTCACATGCATTATCTTGCCTCCTTTCAATTCACCACATCTCCCACACAAGTAATCTGGACAATGAGTCATCAGCCAACTATGATAAGGGAACTGACTTTTTTTTTCCAATCCTTTCCTCAGTAGGATTTTAAGAAAACTACTCTAGACTTAATATTTTCATCAAACTGCAGACAGATGTTAAGTTTTGAAGTGTCCTTTAAGGTGACATGACTTGATTATATCTGCTTCTGTTAGTGTTGTTCACAAGGCAGCAGCAGCACCTTGCAAAAGGAAGGACAATGCATATGACACATTTGTGAACCTGAATCTGGCACAGTTTTTGGTCATGTGGGCCATCAGCATGAAACTCACATGAAATTCCTTTGTGCCTCTTTTCCAGCAGCTGCAGCCTGCAAAGTCAGGCTGCTTTCCTTCCATGAAGTTTAAAGACTACTTAGATTGTCACCTAAATTCACAATGAATGCACAAGATAGAGGAAACTACAATTTACAATACTAAATTAATTTTTTTTCATCAAAAAAACATTTGAATGGTTCCAGTCAATGTTGAGAGACTAAACTCTTAGAAAGTAATTTTCCTGTTTCAATGAACTAGTGAAAGCTAATTGTGATTAGTGATTATCAATAGATATATACAATAAGGCAAATGACATCATGCCAACTTAATGACAACTTTTATTGAAACAGCATAATATATGATTTTAAACAAAAGACTCCCTTCATTCCATTTCATGATTTGAACCAAGATCAATACACTAACCTTGTCAAAAACATCCCGGACGTTGGCTTCAGACTCTCCAAACCACATGGTGAGAAGTTCAGGGCCCTTGATGGAGATGAAGTTGGCCTGGCATTCATTTGCAATGGCTTTGGCCAGAAGGGTCTTGCCACACCCAGGGGGGCCATAGAACAGAACCCCACGAGATGGATTCATTCCGAATTTCAAGAATTTTTCTGGATGCTCCACAGGATACTAAAAACAAAGAACATTTATAACTTTAATTCACAGAGATAGTTAAATAGAAAGCAAACTATGGCTAAGATTTTAGGTTTTCATCTATTTTTTTTCCTTTGATAGCCCCTAAATAATGCAGATGGTGAGAAATTATGATCCAGTCAGTGGTGGATCCAAGGGGGGGAGGGCAAGGGATGACCACCCACCGTATGGCCAGGTTAGCATTGTTTTTTTTTTCCTTCCTTTTTATAGCTGCTACATAAATTTGTACTGGGGCCAGTAAAACAGATATTAAGGTTTTTACCCCAGACAAGAAATGAAAAAGGCAATACAGTGGGGAGTGGTGGAAGGGTGTGTGTTTGGTAGGAACTAGGGAACCCCCCCCCCCCCCCCCCCCCCCCCATTAGTACTGTCACTGTTGAACTGTTGTGGCTACCTTATAGCTGATGGCACCCTATTGCTGAGGCTAGAAAAATTTCTGTATCTGCCACTTATCTAATGAAGATGTTCACAGGTCTAATAGACTATAGAAGAAAAAAAATTTAACTTCACAAAAGGACTGAATTAAGCAAAATGTATCCAGGACAGCAAGGATCAAGCAATGCACCTATAGTCAATAAGATGACATAGCTGGAAACAGTGAAGTCATACCTGCTTCATGAAGTTCCAAAATTATCAAGGGGAACCAGTTTTGATGCTGCAAATTTGGGACTCACCTGAATGAGTTCTTGGAGTTCCAGCTTGACACTCTCAAGACCACCAATGTCCTCCCAAGTGACATTCGGAACTTCCACTACTGTTTCCCTCAGAGCCGAAGGACTGCTCTTGCTCATGGCAAACTGAAACACAGACACAAAGAATGGTTCAAGGATCCATGGTCACATATAAACATGTAAAATGTATATCACAAGTGTCTTTGTACATCATACATACAATGGTATTTTATCAAATACCCAATACAGTGAAAACTCGTTAACTCGAATCCTGATAAGTCGAAATTCCGCTTATCTCGAACTTGAATGCTTGGTCCCGGCGGAACCCCGTAGGACACCATGTTAAATGCTCCGTTTAACTCGAATTTCCGGATATCTCGAATGACATTTTCACTCCCGATAACGATTTTCTCACGGTTAACTCGAATTCAGGGTGCGAAGGGGGGAAAAATTCTTCTTGTGGGACTTTTCGATTTTTGAATAGGATGAATGACAAGAAACCCGTTCGGGAGGATGTTCTTTTGTTTCTTTTGTTTTTTTTTTCTGCTTCCCCTTCCTCCCACGCAGACGCCTGTGGAGAGGATTAAACCTGAGGATTAAAACCGAAAAGCTTCGGCTATAAAAAAGCAACCTCCAACATTCGCTCTGTCTATTTATTGCTCTCACTCCGAGCCATTCTAGTCATATTCTACTTCCTTTACGGCATTTGTGTGGAATGAGTTCACTCAAGAGGAAATTGAAGACTCTGACGCTCGAAGAGAAGGTGCACTTGATTCGGACTGTCGAAGAAGGCCAGCTGAAGAAGAAAGACATCGCAGAGAATTTCGGGATTCCTCCCTCTACACTCTCTACCATTATACGCAGCAAAGATAGGGTTTNGGGGGGGGGGGGGGGGGGGGGGGGGGCGATTCCTGATAACTCGAACTTCGGATAACTCTAAACGATTTGCCCGGTCCCTAAAAGTTAGAGTTAACGAGTTTTCACTGTACTTTCAAGGTCAGCTTACCACCAGACCTGGGGCTACACTTGTAGTTTGTCCAGCATCTTTTATGTTCCCTTCAGATAGGCAAAATTTCTGTGAGCCCAATTGGCTGAAAGTGATGAGAAAATTGATGTTTCATAAATGACATACCTAGGCCAGTACTTTGTACCAGGCATCAAGGTTTGACAGATGTGAAGTAGGCTAAGATTATTCCATTGTAAGCTCAAACAACAGAGGCAGACTAGTAAGAGAGGCATTGAAGAAAGTGGGTTGACACCTTTCTTTCACATACAAGAAAGATAATACATAAATTGACTAATTTATAAATGACACAAATTGATGCCCAAGAGTGAGGAGTGAAATTCAGATCTTTATCATAGAGATCTGCTTCCATCCTACCCTTGGCTTTCAGTATCAAAGTGTTTTGCAAGTAAGTCTAAAATGATAGAGATGGCTGAAGTTTGTCATCAGTTCCTTCCAGTGTGGGATTCCATGACTGATAAGGCTTTAGAGTACTAAGTATGCTATGGTCAATCTATGGCCCATGAAGTAAGAAATCTCCAGAGTTTAATGGGTACTGATTATGAAGAGCATTCCTGGACTGAATTCTAGCAAAATATACCATGCACTACAACTCATTTTTATGCAAGAAAATACATTTGAATTTCATGAATATTGTGCTTGTGTTTGAGTTGGCTAAGGGTTTACACCTCCAAAACTGAAAGAAGTAAAGGAAACAGGTTAGAAAAAAAGGAGAATAGCCTACCCGGAAGTTTTCCATTGAAACAGCCAAAGAGTTAAGGACTTCAGCATCAATTTGGTCATCATCCAGGTCAATGAGGTCCATCTTCTCCCTGATCTGTTGAAGGGCAGCTTCAGAGCACAGGGCTGCCAAATCAGCTCCCACATAACCATGTGTCTCAGCTGCTATCTGCAAGACATCAACATTTCTGTTTGGATCAATTGGCTTACCATAAGGCTTGCAGGATTTGCACTGCTCATTGAACAAAGCTTTCAACACAATGAACAATGGCTGTCTGATTACCAGAATTTCAATTGGGTTATCTTCCATTCTCCCAAAATGTCAAGGGGAAATTGAAGATATGATTATCATGAAATGATACCACAAGTGCACTGGTACCCTGGTTTCAATCAGTGGGAAGAGACATTCCTTCTCATTTTTCTCATACATCTAGTTGGTCCTGAAATTTAATTAATTTACTCACAAACCAGTCCTGCATTGAAACTCCACTTTCTGGCAAAAGGTTTTGGGAACAGATAATTACACCTCAATTCATTTTTTTTTTTAATTTGAATTGATGGTTGGATCAATTAATTGAGTAAAACCAAAAGCCATAAGTTTTTCTATTCTCCGATGATGCAGGTACAAAAAGTGTTTCCAACTCACTTGCTCGAGATCTACATCCTCCCCAAGGCGCATGTTCTTAGTGTGAATACGGAGGATCTCAAGCCGTCCTGTGGCATCAGGGATCCCAATGTCTACTTCACGATCAAAGCGACCAAATCGCCTGAGAGCATGATCTACAGAGTTGGGTCGGTTGGTGGCTGCCATCACAATCACATGGCTCCGTTGCTTCAAGCCATCCATGAGGGTCAGGAGCTGGGAGACAATTCTCCGCTCCACTTCTCCATGTGTCTACAATCCCAAAAAGATGGATGAGATGAACAACAAACAGAATGGGGCTTGGGTTGTTGAGCTGCCCAGCAGGCAACCTTGAGAATTCATCATTGGAATGATATAAAGACTGAAAGGGACAGATAAAAGGTATAAAGCACAAACAAATAATCATGTCTGAGGTTTGGTGTAGGATAGAGCCCACCATATTGTCTTCGTGACAGGCCTGCTAAACAAATTTACAGTGTCACTGAATATCAAATATGCCATATAATGCAGACTTTACTAACATATTGAGCCTAATTGGCCAAGAGCCAGAGACAGCCCTCCCTGGTCAAACAAATAGCTATCATTAACCCCCAATGCAAACCTTGCCTGCTTCATCAACTTTTAAGGGATACCCTGTGAATTGAGGTGAACACTTTTTTTTATGAATAAGTATTTGGGAACGATTTGACAAGTCAGTAGCCAAACTGGTGACTGATAAGTGAAATTTGAACTCAAGTTGCCATATGGCAACTATATAGTATACAGCATTTATGAATAAACCAATTATATTTATGCATCAAAATATTATAATTTGAAGAAAGGAAACTCACTTTTTCTCGTTTTGGGGCAATTGCATCCAATTCATCAATGAAAATGATAGCAGGGGAATTCTTCTCTGCTTCCTCAAAGGCCTTGCGAAGGTTACTCTCCGACTCTCCAGCTAACTTACTCATGATTTCTGGGCCTGGGTGCAATAAACCAAGATGGGCATATTAAAATAAGGAGCTGCTGGCTATGTCTCCCACAGCAATGAGTTATATGTTGAGAAGTACTGAAGATTGGAATTCCCTCTGATACTGAGAAATAGTCATTGCAGTTATAGATGAGTTCTGGTAGATGTGACTGAGACTAGAAGCAGAGCTTTACACAAATTTATTTCTGAGAGTGAACTTTACCAGGTTTGTGTTTGACTTGGCAATCAATCACAAGCAGCTAACAAAACCTGACATCCTTTTCCTTGTATGAGTATAGAGTAACATCTATCTCCTGAAACATGAACAAACTTCATGGTCAGATATATAGACAAGGACATACATACAGGTGCACTTAAGAACATTGAATGTAATTACCATTGATGAGGTAGAAAAAAGCTCCAGTTTCATTGGCGACAGCACGAGCAATGAGGGTCTTCCCAGTCCCAGGTGGTCCATAGAGGAGAATACCCTTGGGGGGTTTAACCCCAATTGCCTTGAAGAGCGATGGATGCCGAAGGGGAAGCTCCACCATCTCTTTGATCTGGGCCAGCTGCTTCCGACACCCACCAATGTCATCATACCCCACCTCATTCAAGGCCTCTTCCTCTTCCTGATAAACAACCACATAATGTCCTGTATAAATACTAGTGCAGAAATCTAAAAAAAATGATAGGAATTATATGCAAAATGTGGGACAAACCCATGAAGGCATTCTTCTTTATTTTCTTTTATTGTTTGTAAGCAACTCTTTCTTACAATCAGACTTCAATAGTTCAATATCTCATAATGGCATCAATGCTGACAGTAAAAACTATCCCTTGGTTTTTCCACTCCAAATGTAAAACTGGAGTACTTTTAATCCATGTTCAGTAGTGTAAATTCATACTCTACACAGGGTGTTGCATTTTTAAAAATCCCACCATTCTGGATTACTTACTGCTCGTTTGATGGGTTCCCCTTCACAGTGGATCACAGTGTCTGGAGCAACAATGCAGCAAGGGCTGGGGTCTGTTTCCACAACTTTGAATTCCACAGCTCTCATACCCCCTCTCACAATGAAGATATCCCCCTTGTAGATTGGCCGATATGCCTCCAGGAAGTAGGGTTTCAGGTAGACTTCAAAAAGGCTCCTGGGAATCCCCAAACATATAAATAAAAAAATTGATGGAATCTCTTCCCTACAATAGTTGGTAACCAGCTGCAGTGGGGTATATCTTGAAAATGTGTCCTCCATAAGAGAGAGTAGTTTCAAAAAACAAGACAATAATAACCATATATGAAGCTGTACAGACAAACACTAGTTTCAAAAAACAAGACAATAATAACCATATATGAAGCTGTACAGACAAACAATGGAAAGTTCCTGATGAAAGATTTGCATGAAACTCTTCTTGGCAACTGGTTTCAAAGATAATCTGTTCCCTTCCCTTTGAATTCTAAATGGACTTGTCTCAAGCCTGAGGCAAATCTTTGGCAAATCCCAACTTTGGCAATGTTAGTGATGTTCGTAAGCCCAACACTGGTCCCTTGAGAATCCATGTGCCTGCATTTTTACAACTGTCACTGGCCTACATGCAAAAGAGATACGAGATAAATTCTTTTGTATGAGTAACACAAGTGAATAGGGGAAAACAGACCCAGTGAGACCCTCAACAGTGTCATCAATTGGGAGGACATGGACTCTCTTGCCATACTTGACATCTGGCAACGGCTGGATGGACACCACATCACCGAGACGCACTCTCAGGTTTCCCCTGACCGTTCTATTCATGCGGATCTTTTCATCAGGACAAGTGTCATCAGACAAAGCAATGCAGACAGTCTCTTTTCGCTTCTTCCCTTTCAGGAGGACAGTGTCCCCACGAAACAGCTCCAGCTCATCCATCTTTTTCTGCAATCATCCATCACCCATGCCATCCATAACTCACACTATTTTATATATACATATACACCAAGAAAAACCTAAACACATGTATGTGTAACAAGGTCCATTTTAATCACATGAAATATTTTCCATTTTTCATCTGCATTCATTTGTGGACTTTAAAAATCAGACCTACATAACAACAAAGTACCAGAGTAGAACAGATGTTTTTGCATTAGCAAAGTGCAAAGCAAATGCCTTGCTTGAAAGACATCTCTGATAAAGCCTGCTGTCCTTTACTTCAAAGCATTTCATTTTCAACAACAAGCATGACATATACAAGGCTTCCAGAAGTAGTCTGCATGGTAAGTCACCAGCAAGACCATAAGACTTTTTCAAAAGATGAATTGAAACAGAAATGAAAAATAGGAAGGATTATTTGCAAGACCTGGGCATTTGAACCTACCTGGGAGAGGGCCACCACTGAATTGTCATCATTGACTGCCTCCTCAACTAGTAGACGATTTGGCCTAGATTTCTGCTTGAGGATTGCTGTCGCCAAATCATCAGGACTGAAATCAGGACAGTGGACATTTAGACATTTCTGAGCAGTTCAGATCTATTCCATAAACTCTATTGCATTCAAATGCCAGTGTTTTTATGATTCAGTAAGTCATGATTTCAAACAATTTTAGAAACAATTTCCATAAATTGCTCAAGGTTTTCCTACTAATAAGGAAGATATCCTTGATCAAATATTAGCTTCAAACTAGATCTTCACCTTCCCCAAGCCAGTCAATTTCTCTCACTTCCTTCAAAAGTAACTATTGATGCATCATTTCCCACTTCCTTGACTTTAAATTGGGACACTTTTCTATACTTCTATGACTTTTCCTTTTGGTTTCCCTATTTCTATTTCCTTGACTTTTTCAAGTTTTGTGAGAATAGACGGTGTCTCGCAAGTTAGGAATCATAGGATTAAAGTGCATGGGTTACTTTTTACAGATCAAGTTTAGAACCCCCCCTCCAGTCTGATAACATAACCACAAAGTCATCTTAATCACAAAAGCTTGTTCAAGTCACCCAGGGTTATTCAAATTGATGCCATTGACCAAACATGAGCATAATTATCCTTGTGACACAAGTGGGTCATTTATAATTACTTGCATTAGATTTTATGATTAAGATAACTCTGGCATTACGGACATCTGGACAGGTAGGCACATCTAGGCAAGAAAAGAATTTCTACGATATAAGCCACTCAACCCTAACTTTTGAGATATCCAGTATACAAGACATGTGAATTTTAACTTCTGTTATCTGTGGCCTAGTTTTCCTTTTTTCTACTTTCATCTGAATGAAGCTTTCCCTGTGGCATTACAGGTAGAATAGTAATGAGTTTAACTCCTAGGTCCTTGACTTATGAGTCATAGCAGACCTTAACCTGTATATGGTCCAGGTAACCCAGAACAGAAAAAGCATATCTTTTCACATATTTTTAATGGTTTTGTTTGAGTTTCCAGTTCTACTAACACCAAATCAAATGGATACACCTATGTAACATTCCAGTCATCAGCACATGCATACCAACAATTAATTTTTTTTCGCAAATGTTCCCAATCATAACATAAACACATAAACAACATAAATAGGAATTGAGGGTCAAAATGATCTCAGTGGATCTCATGGCAACAGAAAATTCTGAATAGAATTCTGCAAATTGAACAGATGATATACAGACATTTTCATATTCCTGTGATGTTTGGACAAGAATGAGACTTAACAAGTGCAGTCACCAACCACCTGAGTTGGAGAGAAATTCCAAAAACACATTCATTTCTAATTTGTATCCCTAAACAAGGGAACATTGTTTCCTCCAGCCGTTTCACTTTAAAATCCCTTAACCCTTTCGTGCATGGTGTCCACTGTAGTGGACGGCAAAATTTTTGGCGATAATTATGAGTTTTCAGCTATGGTACTCATACCTCGAAACTTTTGGTATGTGCAGTCAACTCAAGGGCACATAATCTGTTCAGTGTCCCTTTCCAGCAGTAGAACATTCGACTACTATGGCAGAGTACCTCCTTAAACGTTAAACCATAAAGGGCATATTTTTATTTTGCTTTAAAAATTCATGCACGAAAGGGTTAAAGTACCAGGTCAAAAAATAAGATTCTTCACATATACATTAATTCTTTAGCACTTAAAAAGGGAACATATCTACCTCTGCACAAAACAATATTGTACATCTCTGCCAAGATCAGGGGACAAAACCATGAAAAGATCATCAGTGGAAATCAGAAGACTATCTAAAAAAAAAAAAAATTTTGTCTCATTCCTATATTTGTGATACCTTGAGGTGAAATAAAAGCTGCAACAGTATATTGGCAATGTATGCTTTGCTTTGATATTTTCCCCACTACGTTTATAGCTACCAGAAATAGGTGAACTTTATTTGTCAAAAATGTGAAGGGGGTATGGACAGTAATCATATGAGGTGTGACCTACCATGTGGGGTGGTGTCTTACACTATACTGTAATGACAACACTGTGTGATGACCTGACAGGCATATTGGGAGGTTTATTTGGGGTCAAGCCAGACTCAACCACCTCCCTCTCCCCAAATTTGCCCCCAATATGCCTGTCAGTGTCACTGAATGGGAAGCATGGGTGGGGTCACATGCATACAGTGGTGGATACAGAAATTTTTCATAGGGGGAGAGGGATTCCCTAGTTCTAAAAATCCCCCTCCCACCACTCTCCATCCTACTGCCATTTTCATTTCTCATCTGGGGTAAAAACTTGGATATCTACTTCACTGGCCCCAATAAAGATTAATGTAAGTGCCTTTTAAACTAAAAAAAAAAATAGAATGTAAACTTGGCCATGGGGGGGGGGGGGCAGTCACTCCCCCTCCCCCCTGGATCCGCCACCGCATGCATATTGGGGTAGATAGAGGCACATTGCTCTATCAGCAGCAGTAGATGCAATGTGATGCCAAGATTTTTACTCAATAATCAGTACCAGGAGAGCACAGTTAACTGACTGTGAACAGGGCATTTTGCAAGATAAAACTAAAAAAAATGCATGGGACAATGCTTGAGCTTCTGCTAAGGCACCTCATTGAGGCCTGGTGGCATGGTCTCAACCCCACAAACAACAGGTTCGAGGTATTCATTAGGGATGTCAAGTCTACATTCACTGATTAATCTAATGTGAAACCTGACGATAGTCAAATGATGAAATTTGCAGGCCTAAGTAGCTTTGGAAAATAAAATAGTGTTAAAAAGGGTGCATTTTATACCATGAAAACTGTGCAGGTTACAGTTAATTTCCAATGTGCTGTGGTAGGTCACACCTCATATGATTACTGGTATAGACTGGTTCTCATAGAACCCCCAAGAGGGTCTTCATGGTAAAAAAAAGAAAATTAAATTTAAAAGTAGAAAAATAATGTCTTCCATAACTTCATTCCAGAATATGTCTGCTATTAAGTCACTTCAGATTAGCTTTCTTGTTCCTTAAGAGAAGATACAAGTAAATCTCTCTCTGGGGTACACAATTACCCATGAAACTATGGCTGTAATATTCTTCAAAATATCTCTTGGAAAGCTTTTGATGACTTTGAGACACCCTAGTCACAAGTAAGATAAAGCCCTTCCCACAGTTATCCAAGGTCACAAGATCTCCATCATGTTGGGGCTCTTCTAACTTCTGCCATGATATCCCAATTCTGCTTCTTATGCAAACTCACATGCCTGTCCCTCTGAGACTGAATGCTTTGTACTTAAAAAAGTGCAGTGGTGGTGTAAGCTATCTAGAGCTAGGCATGATGCGGCTGGTATAAACGTCCATCACTCTTTCTCCTATATCTAACAGGAACTGAATTTTGCTTGTTTCTTCTCCTTCTCATTAGTAGGATGAACCAGGGTTCACACTAGCTTTTTAAATCTTCAGTCCTGGCACCTAACTTCAGTTCAGTGGGAACATGTCTAAGTAGTTGTCAATGAGTACCATGGACATGGATGTTTTGCAAATATGAGTCCCTCCAAGAAAATATGAGACAGGGACTCGCTATAGTTAATTAATGAGAGCTAATGTTAATTAAGAGTTAATATAAACCCTGATGAACAGATGATAGAATGTCAAAAACAACACTCATTTGGTTCATTGGAGAATTATGATACTGAAAATGCATTCACTAACTTGAACAGTGGTATCCTGACTCAAGGCTTACTTAACATAAACCACTGAATTACCCAGCATGACTGAATTATTGGAGTTCCCAAGTTCTATTCAACCATATAGCAAAACCTGACCAACGCAGGAAATTGGTAATTCGCCAATAGGGAGTCAATTATTTTCTACTAAGACTGGGTTTGCATTGTAGTATATTATATAATTGTCTCTCAACTTAAGATAGAAATTACAAGCAAGGGAGGCATTACAACTTGATGAGGTCTTCACCTTCACTATAAGATTGTTTTTAAAGGCAGGCAGAACTGATGCAGCCTAACATGGGCTTGCAGTCTCAGTTCAGGGCCTAATAAAACTCCTTCCAGGAAATGCTTCCTTTAAAGCAGTGTCAGTCACATGTGTGAGAGGTCTCTGATACAGCCAGAATAGTTGTACTATCTCAATGTTAAAGGGGATATCATATCAACCTGAGATCAGTGAAAATACATAGGCCAAGCAATATTGACTACCTCATTTGAAACTGTGAGTGGGCCACAAGTAGCAGAAGGCAAATGAGGTGGTGCAGACCGCATACTATTGGTGTACCTACTCAATAGTATCATCAGCCAACTCACCCACTTGTGCCTGCAACATTAGTCTCACAAGATGAACTTGAACCAGGTTGTCCTGACTACTTTGTGCCATTCTTTCTTGAGTTTTGGCCCCATTGGGTTGGCATGCCTTGAAGTCTGCCCTGTCCACATGTCAGAGATATCTCATATTCTGGTGTTTTCTCCGAGACTTGCCTTATGAGTCAGTTTTTTTTTTTTTTTTTGTGGGGGGGGGGGGGGGGGGGGGGAAAGTTCTTTTGACCTGTCTTTCAAANGATGAATAAGACATGTGAGAATGTGATCTTTTAGGCCTACCAAGAAGTGGCCATAATATGCCACTGTTATGAGATTTACCACCCTTATCATCTTTCTTTCCCTTTTCATCAGGGTCCTTTTTCTGTACTTGCATTCTGTGACAGGAATTCCATGCCCTTACTTGGGTTGTTGAGATCCAGATGAGCTAGCCATTGTAGATGTCTGCAGTCAAGGACCAAATAGAATGAGCCCACAGATTTAGAGGTAAACTGATGAAAATTTTCCCTTTGAACCTGAAACAAAAATGAGCACAGCAGGTTAAGGCATCAGCTAGTACTGATTCCATAAAAGTTCAGACAGAAGAGGGCCAATTAATTCAATTTTAAATTAACCTCAAGGAAAATCACTACTTGAACTGTCACTAGAAATATTGAGTCAGACAGTCAGATTAGTACAATTAAAGCTAATTGACTGTCAAGATGTAATACTGATAAAAACTGGAAAGACAAGGGACAGAACCTCAACAAGTCATCTGTTGTGAAGAACAGCATAAAATCAGTGTTTGGTATATGCAACCCTGGGAATGAAGCCCTTCCCCCTTACTGGACAGTTCATATCTTTCTACTATCTCCAGTGGCGTAGCCAGGGTTTCGCCAATTTTCTAAGCAGAACGGTGAGGGGGGGGATGAATTTAGACAGGAGTTGGGGGGGCTAAAGCCCCCCCCCCCCCTTGCTACACCACTGACTATCTTACTGGATCATCCATTCCAAATCATTAATGATCTCCCCCTTTCTCATGGTACTACCCTATCACATTTGAAATCAAGATTCTTAAGCCAAATCCATATCTCTTCAAAATGTTGTATACATTTGTGACAAGCAATTTCTTTCTGTGAGCAGAAAGTGACTTCTCCTGTTTGATGCTTCTCTCTTCTTAGAAATTGACTCCCTACATCTGTTCACACATTAAAAATCTTCCCATTAAACCAGTCTCGTAGCGTAGATGCTTCTTTTTTCTTTCAACAAGACCGCGTTTTAGACTGTCTGGAATGTAGAATCGCGACTGACAACTTAGGCCTAACGTAGCACAATTCAAAACATATTAACATGAGGTCCGATATAAGGCATCCGATTATCGTTAACCATAAAACTGGGCACTTCGCGTAAAAATACAGGCTTACCTATGCCTAGCATAACCGACTCAAGCTTCTATCACGTTTATATGCATTAGGTTACACGCATGTAAGATAGTGACTCCTTCCTGCAGCAGCCCTGAAATTTACATGCCTTGATAGTCCTAACAGAGGTTCTAAGTTCGAATAGACACCATTTAAGCTTAAACCTGTTGGCTACGATAGCCTAGGCCGAAGCTTTACTGTTGAGCCAGGTCCAGGCAGGGTTCACAAAGCGGCGAGAGTGACTAAACATTCTATGGGCAACGCCATTATGGGGTGATTCGATGAGTAGATCGTCAACTCTTCCTCTGCATGTTGCCAGATACCTCGCCTGTGAATCCCTAAGGAAAATATTGTACCCTCGTTCAACCAATGGATACAAGAAACATATAACCGGCAACCACAATTTTAATTTTAATTTCGCTAAATAAATTGAAAAACAGGGCTATTCTGTGCAATAAATTCAAAGAAAGACTGGGTCAACACGTGTCCACCGAACAACCCTGCTTTAAATCTTGTGGTGACGGTGGCGGTATTCTGAGCTGCGGGGACTTGAAAGGATGATGCAAGTAATGGGGACAAATGCCATAAGCGCAGGAACTTTCTGGAACTTGGGAGGGTTAACGGCTCCGAACACTTGACAGTTGGGAGGCTTTCGCAAATGCATATGATAGAACTGGAGTTTCTAGTCAGGCCATGATCAGAGATTCTGAGATATGCATTTAACCGGGAAAAGGGGGGGAGGAGGAGAAAAGCTACCCTTCCCTGCTTCTTAGGCTCCTGACAGGCAGGGTCGGACTGGTGCCCTAGGGGCCCTCGCAACCCAAGAATATACATGAGAAAAATTCATGGATGGATTAAAAATACACATCATACAATGTTGATGTATAGGGTATCCCGTAAGTCACTATACCATTTCAAACTGCAATATTTTACTGCAACAGCATGTCACTGTTACAGGACCGGATTAAGGGGGGGGGGGGGGGCAAAGGGAGCAGTTGTCCCGGGTCCCACTATTCCAGGGGGCCCCAGAAGGAAATTAAAAACGCTAAGTACAAAAAGTATTGCATTTGCGTAAAGTATAGCAGGGGGGGGGGGGGGGAAGCCCCAGGAATTCACTTGGCCCGGGCCTCGCAACTTCTTAATCCGGCCCTGTACTGTTAGCATTACTGGAATGAATGTTCTTCAGAATTTTTTTTCTTCACAAGAATGACTTGGAATCAGACTCAAACAGAAAATGCTTCAAAAGCATATTTGAAAGGTGTGCTACTTTAGGGCTATTTATGGTACTCCTTGTTGAATCCTCTTCTACTAAATTTCCTAAACTTCATGTTTTTTTTCTCTCTCTCTTAATTTCAGATAGACTCGAGAAACAGGGGAAAAATAATAATTTCGTTTAATTTGCTTTCGCTGTTATGAGACTGAAACGTATATACGGCAGTCGAGGCTTGTCGGAGAAGCCCAACCTCCCAAAAATTCTTCCAATGAGGCATTTTCTCATGCGCCTTTTAATTATCCTTTGTGTCTCATACATGTATTATCGCCGGAAATCTCTCAGAACCACTGGATTAACACTCAATTGATGAAAACGAGCGATATTCGGCCTCTAATTATCTCTCGTCGATTGCCGCCCAGAATGACTGGAGGAGGCGGGACCCGGCAGGCCTCTGCAGAGAAAACAGCCTTATCCCGCTGCACATGCAATGCTATATTAGGAGTAGGTCGACGTACAGGGGAGGCAAGCTGCTAGCATCACCGCTTGCTTGCGCACGAGTTGGTGCCTTCCCTGCAAGCGCTCGCAAGTCTCTCGGCTCTTTTCCCTCAAGTCAGGGACGATGCCAAGGGGGTTGTCGTGGGGGTCTGGACACCCCCCTCGAAATGAGAACAAGATTTCGTGAAACAAGTCAAGGAGAACGAGATGAGGGGGTGGGGGGCTGAAAAGTTCCCGGACTTTCACATGCACATGTATTGATCCACAATGCTTCCATTGTTCTACCTTTTTTTATTATTTATTTAAGCAGTAAACCATCTTGAAGCTTTCACCCACTGGTTGATGACTAATGCAAAGTCAGTCGTCGACCTATATCTCTTTCCATGCAAGGAATGTTGAATTCTTGCGAAAAGATGGGCAATGTCAGAACTATGAGGTGGGTTGGTTATCATTTTCAGCCAAGGTTATGGGTTGCATAGGCTGTGACATGAACTGCCCAGGTGGCAACATGGGCGATATGAGGGTGGGATAGCCCTGCTGCAGCACCACACCCTTTAATGAGGCTACCCTTTTTGGCTAACGAGCTTGCTCTTCAATAGTTAGTAAATGTAAGAGCATTACTGAAGACCTCGGTATTCATTTCTTGAATGGTATTCTAGGTATTAATTTCTTGGAAAGGACCACCCTTGCAAAAGCCAGTGGGTGAAGTTCCCCATGATGAATGCTTTACTGCTAGAATTCCTCATCTGGTGAAGCGATGAACGAAGCATGCTATGGTCAAGACTGGTTATGTCGAACACGTGAAAGAGGAGCTAAAGTCCAACTAGTACTAGTAAGTCCAAGTACAACTTTCTGTATTTTCTGTTAATTTTTTAAAATCAATATTATAAGTTCAACTTAAAAGTCGACTTTATCAATGAGTCGACTTTATCGAAAAAGCTACTTTTTAAAAAAATCTCTCGAACTTAAAGAAATGCGGTACCATATCTACGAATTCAGATTTCACCGCTGAACATAAGAGGTTTCCGAAGAACTTTAGATTCGCCCATCGGATGTTTTGGATCCACTCGTCCGTCCAAATTTTCTTCATTTCTGGCCTCGGAATTCCCTGCCAAAAATCGAGAGCTGATTGATAATATATATTCGCACTGCCAATTAATGCTGGTGCCAAGAGCGGAAGTCATTAGATATGTTCCACACGATCGTGATACTTGCCAAGCGAGTCAGATGGGATTCTGTTTCCATCAAGTTCTGAAGTTCGCAAGGGGAAAAATGTGTGAGACCGATATTTTTCTCTTCTGACCGAAAAGTGCTTCTATTCCGTTTCTCTCTCTCTTTTTCTCCCTTTCTATTTTAGGCGTCCCACGGAAGAATCGATTTCTGCCGAGCTTTTACCTGATTTCTATTAGGATTAAGTGCCAATATGGAGCATTTTCCATCCGCTATTTTCTGTCGCCTGCAAAAAAAAAAACTAATGGAACCTCCGAACCGGGTTCCCCAGACTTCTCACCCAGCCACCACAGACCGCGCCCGACTGATCGTTAGGACTTTTCTCTTTCCTCGGATGAGAAGGAGAAAAGTCCTAACGCATATTCCTCGTCTTCCCGGCTTTTCCCTAATCCTCTTCCCTTCCCGTCTTCCCACGTGAACGGACTGCAACACAGTCTCATTCCCTCCTGCATGCATTTCCAAAATCGATGGGATTGCTGCGGGAGAAACGAGTTCGGGCTCAGAGTAAGATGCCGAGCAGCCAAAATATTATCATGATCACATGTCAACGCGCTTTATATTCCATCTATACTGGGGGCCAATAAAAAATTTTCAATCACAAAGTGGTAGTTTCAGGAAATGTGATCATAACACAAGTTAATCTGATGCGAACGTCGAGTGTGTATGCTATCTTTATCTGACGCCCTCATTCATTCTCCAGGAATTTCTTGAGGAATCCCGAGCATGCAATCATTCTCTCGAGGTGCTGATGCGTTTTTGGCCTTCGTTTCCTCGCACTTTTTTTTGCATTTTCGCCGTCATCGAGTGCCGAAACGGAAAAAGCCGATCTGAGATTGCTCGGATTCGCGCTCAGTCATCGAGTTAATCCGGTGCCGCGATCTCGTCATGCTTCCGGAAACTCTCATCTATATCAGGCCGGAAGTGTTTTGATTGCCTCTCGTGTTCGGACACATTTCTGGCGACCATGAATCACTGGGATTCATTTCCCCTCATTTATCGAGAATGTTCGGACCTTAAAGGCCCGTTCACATTGTCCTTAGGCGAGGCCTCGCCGCAGCCTCGCCGAAGGTGCGGCGCAGACCAGTCTGAACGCGCCCATAGAAAAGAATGGAACAAATGTCTACGCCGAAGCAACGCCGCAGCTGCGGCGCACCTACGCAAGGAGTTCGAAGGAGCCAAACTTTTGTTACGGATAGCCAATGAGGAGTTGTCGACGTACTTACGGAAAGCCAATAGGAACGCCGATTGATATGGCGGCCAGCACGAGCTCTGAAAACCTGAATCAGCCTAGCCTATATGATTGACTCTAGGCTTGTGTAGTCGCTTATGGTCTCAAAAATGCCCTTCCAACAAATATCGTTATCGTCATTTCAATACCAGGTCTACCACCGGTTTGTGTGATAGGCGTAGCCCGCCTAGTCCTTGTCAAGCAAAGCTACCGATTGATATGGCGGCCAGCACGAGCTCTGAAAACCTGAATCAGCCTAGCCTATATGATTGACTCTAGGCTTGTGTAGTCGCTTATGGTCTCAAAAATGCCCTTCCAACAAATATCGTTATCGTCACCACCGGTTCGTGTGATAGGCGTTGCCCGCCTAGTCCTTGTCAAGCAAATCTGGATACACAAAGACCTGTTGAGGTCGGCC